GAGAGTCACATACTCTCAGAAAACCCTGTGATAGGTTCACGTCACCAAAAGTTAGAAATGACTTGAAGACACACAACAACAACAAGGAGTACGCAACATGCTATTCATTCATTCTGTGATGTACAGTGGGCCCTTGGTATCTGTGGTACCCAGAGTCCGATTCCCTGCTTGACCATGGAAACTCACTGGGTAGCCTTTGAAAAGTGATACACCCTCAGTCTCAGAAAACCCTGCGATGGGTTCACAGCCACTGTTTTGTGCACAGCCTGCAAAATTATGTATTCCCTGAATCCCTTTCATTTGCTTGTTAGATGAGGAATTTAAATGTATTGTACTGTCAGCCCTCCGTATCCATAGATGTGGTATCCATAGATTCAACCATCCACAGCTTGAAAATACAGTATATTTTTTTAAAAAAGAAATCCAGGTGGCAGATGGTGGCAACTCTTCTAAGAAGACAGTCCTGGTAACATATATGCTGATCAACAAACAAATAAAGTTAGTACTCTTCTCCTTGCTCTTAGGTACTATTCATTTGTGTGTGTGTGTATGTATGTGCCTTCAAGCTGTTTGACTAATGGCAACCCCATGAATTTCATAGGGAAGGAATACTCAGAGGTGGGTTTACCAGTTCCTTCCTCTAAAATATAGCCTACAACACCTGGTAGTCATTGGTGGTCTCTCATCCAAGTACTAACCAGGCCTGACCCTGCTTAGTTTCCAAACTCATACAAGATCTGATCTTTTTAAGGATATCTAGGTCTCCTTTATCCAAAATTTGCATGTGTTGTGTGCCTTCAAATCATCTCCAACGTAAGGTGACCCTAAGGTGCACCTATCACAGGGTTTTCTTGGCACGTTCTTTCAAAGGAAGTTTGTCATTGCCATCCTCTGAGGTTGAGAGAGTGTGACTTGCCCAAGGTCACCCAGTCGGTTTTCATGGCTGAGCCGGGATTCAAACCCAGGTCTCCAGAGTCATAATCCAACACTCAAAACCATTATACCAGCAAAACTAGACCTACGAATGGGACTTTTTGGGCATCACTTACATAAATCCTATTGATTCCAAGGGCTCTTGTCTAGCCAACACTAAAATTGGATTTAGCCCTATTGTTTTATTCATGCGCTCAATTAAAATCCCTGTGATTCATCTGCTAAGGTTTCTTTAATCAGGTGAAAAGCCTAGTTGCTAGGAAACCTAGCATCTTCTTCTTCCAAAGAAAGAAGAAACAGTTGTGTGGGGTCAAAATACGGAAGGAGCAGCACAGCTCCAGGAGTATTAACGGTGTTTTACTGTATTGCAAAAACCTTCCTCTACAGGCAGGCATTTAGGTTTTTAGATCATTAAGTTTTTATATGATGCCTCTTTATTACCTAGTGCACCACTCTGTTTTTCTGACAATGCACACATGGCTTTAAATTGTGTTGTGATGTTTTGTACTTGGATTTAATTATTAGACCCCTTAAGTGGAACTTGAAGATCTGCTGCTTTAGCTATTGGAGATAATATATAACCCTTGTACCTAATAGCTATTGTTAGCCTTCTCCTATGTGCGCTTTCCTGATTTCCTCCCTTTTCCAGCATCCTTTCTTCCATAACATTTTCAGCACAATTTCCACCATGCAAGGCAATGAGCAGCCATAGCATATTTATTACAAATTTATTCTAAATGGAAACATTATAAAGATTACTTCCAAATACAATTGGCCAGCATGGTTGTTGTTGTGTGCCTTCAAGTCGTTTCCGACTTATGGCAATCCTAATGCAGACCTACCATTGGGCTTTCTAGGGCTGAGAGTGTGTGACTTGCCCAAGATAGGCTAAGAGAAACAGCTGGAGGGTTAGTAAATTTCCCCAATAAAGGTAGTAAAATTCAGAGTTATTTCTTATTTGTTGTTGTGTGCCTTCAAGTCGTTTCCGACTTATGGCGACCCTAAGGCAAACCTATCACAGGGGTTGCTTGGGAAGTTTATGCCTAGGCAGTTTGCACTTGCCATCCTCTGAGGCTGAGAGTATGTGACTTGCCCAAGGTCACCCATTGGGTTTCATGGCGAAGTGGGAGTTCAGACCCTAGTCTTCTGAGGTGTAGCTAAGCACTCAAACCACGATGCTACGCTGGCTCACATTAAAGTTAGACCAAGGTGGAAATCCTATGACCCTCCAGATGTTATTAAACTGCAGTTTCCAATACTTTTCATCATTGACTTTGTTTGTTAAGGCTGCTGGGAACTGAAGCCCAGCATCACTTGGAGAGGCATGTGATTCCTACATCTGAATGAGGCCAGTAGAATATGGTGTTCACATACATCTTTGAAGACTTCACAAGAGCCATGGGCAACTTTAGAGGATCTCTCTGCTACGCCCGGAAGGAAGAGATCTATTTGGTTTGCCAGGTTGCCATGCTATCTAGGTAGCAGATAGGGAGCTTGTGGAACTCCTCTACACAGCTCCCATCCTTTCACCAGCAGATAGAGCTATTACTCTTCCTCCTCCTCTTCTATATCCTTCAACGTTTCACAGATGAAATCTGGGACACATGTGGCCAAGCAACATCAGAGGAGTTTATCACACAGGAGGGAATCGGCCAAATCCCATGCAGAAACGGGATTTAAATCCATGAAAGCGGGATCGTTTTCAGACGCATTGAGCATTAATCCAAAATTAACC